TATATATTATTACTATTTATAAATAAATTCTTCAATTTAAATTATTTTTCTTAAAACATAGAACACTAAATATAGAAAATATACAGAACACAATGGTCTCCACTACTTATGATGTTACAAAGTTTTTTTTTGTATTTGTGCATTATACTTGCTAAGCCTTGTCGATTTTCACACATGTAGTAAATAGAAAAATTAATTTTTGGAGATTTTATACATGCATGTTGGAATACCAAAAAATTATAACTTACTATACAGATATCACAAAAATTTACTGTAGTTTATCAAGCTTCTTAACTAAGCAGTATTTGGGTCTAAAAAACCTAATTTCTGATTAGAATATAGCCTTGATAACCACACTTCAAACTCTCCAATAGTTATAGCAGCTTTTCTTATATAAATATTTTAGGTAGACTGACAGGACTACATAGTTCAAATTGAGTGCTTTTTATTGGTTATATACATGAATTTAAAAGAAGTAGGCACTGGGAAACAAGTATTTTCAAAAATGAAGTGGTGGAAATAATAATAACTCAGCAAATAAAAAAAAAGGTAGATGGTTCTTATTTTATATTCTAGCTTGTCAATACTAGTAACTTAAGTTTCTAATTTGTTAAAAACTATAGACATCATAAAATGTAATCTGAGTAAAAGCAGAAGACCACATGACAAAAAAATTATATTTGGCAATTTTTTTTTAAATTTGCTTTTGAATTAAGTATTAACTTGAATTATAAACTACAATTTGATGCCAAATTTATCGACATACATTCATAAAATAGTAGTTTGATAGTGTTTTGAATGTAAGTCTACAAAACATGATGACATGCCCTCTAACCCCTACCCATATAGAAAGGGTTAAAAGTTACAGTATGGATGATTATTTTAGGGTTACGAGATTGATGTAATCCACCAACCCCGTACTGAAAGAGTGAGACCAATATTATCCTGATATCAGAGCAAATGTAATAATGAAACCCAAGAAAATGTGTAACTTTCATAAAATTTCTATTTAAATGGCACATAAATGATTATCAAATTTAAAAACTGTTATATACTTACTTGACATGATACAGTCATTTTCTTCTGAAATTCTTCTCTAACATGGCTATATTTATCTACATAACTTTTGTAGTCCTCACCTGGACAGGAGAAAATTAGTTTTTTTACACCCAAGTTGTTGTAATCTCATCAAGAGCTCTATTAATTGTACTGATAAGTGTTTCACACACATTAAAATTTTTTCCCTTGAAAAGTGCAGGCTAATAATTTCTGTTTAATTGACATACGAGTTCATGACTTTTTAAAGGCCATATATTTGTTTTGTATGGAAGTATTTCTTCATGTTTTGTCATTGTAATAAAACTGGGATTAGATTAAAATTAAGAAACATAAAATAGAAAAAATGGGAAGAAAAAGGTCCATAAAAGCAATAACAGTTTGTTTAATGCATTTAGCTCTTTGATTTGCACATCTTTAACAACACCAAAAATGTTGGACCACCATAAAAGGATTAATATATAAAAATTATCAAATTAATGAAAATTTATCACACTTACAAGCTTTCTTGCACTTTAACTCTGCCTGAAAAAAGAAATTTTTTGCTTGATTAGTTCTTTTTGATACTAATGTTGACTTTAAGTTATTGTGATCAATAAAATCAACACTATTTCATGGGAATTTTTTTTGTTTTTACTTAGTAAATAACAATAAAAAATCTGTAAAAAACTATGCATAAGTACATTAAATTGATTAGTTTATTTTCTAAATAATATAAATGTAAAAATATTCTTGTTTTCAAGAATTTTGATTGTGAGAAACAACAAAAAACACAGATGTCTTGAGTTTCAAATTACAAAAGTAGTTTTGAAACTCTTGAAAACACACATATTTAAACAATTTTTGATGTTAAACAATTTTTCAAATTCAAGAAAATATTTGCCAATCTTTATACCAAGTTCACTCGACAATTTCTGTTAATGGTGCCTCATGTAAGCACTTAGCTCAAAAATAAGCATGGAGTCTAACACAAGTGGTTTAGTGTTTTCCAACAATATGAATTAAGATAAACTTAGTTGTATCCAAAATAACAACCAACTGAACATCGTAAAAAGCCAGGAAATCACACAATCAACTAACATGTACTTAAACTCTGAAAACAATTTACTTAAAACATCTTTCCAACATTATTATTTAATCTATCTTACAAGTTATTTAACAATTGACTGACATTTCATTCTGTGAAAACATATTTTTTTAAATATCCTAATTAAAACAAACAAACAACTGTGTGTGGTAGCTGAAGAAAGTATACAAAATGTAACATTTAACAATAATAAATGTTCGCCATATTGTTTGCTTCCATTTTACTTAAACAGGTCAAGTTCTCAATAAATTTTGTAAGCAGCAATCAGATTACCTGCACCCTATTAAATTTAAATATATTTCTTTAGAATGTGGAATGCCACTTCATCTACATGAATTTTGTAAGTAGTGATGTGGCTGTTGTACTGGATCTTTTTCTTAGTTAGTAAAAGGTAAAAAAAGAAGTACACTAAACAACTGAAATACTTTACATGCTATACTCTAAAGATCAATGAATCACAACACCACTGAATATCCAATTTTCTTATTCATTTAAAGTTTAAAGTATGGGGCTACATCTACTCTAAGTTATGCCACGTAAACGATTAGTTTAACTGTGTGTGTATATATTTTTAGCACAAGTCAAAACATAATTTTATAAGACATATTCATACAATTTTTGCTAATAGTGAAAACTAAATACTTAGGTTTGGTTTTAATTTATCATACAATTGTACACAAACTGACTTAGTGTTTTAAAATATGAAAAATTATTTTTTCGAGCTATTACAGCAATCAAGTAATCTTACAAAAATTAGAATTAAAAACACTAGCAAGTAAGGAAATATTATCATTTCACACGCTTGCACAAGTTTAACTCAAAACAATCAGCAACATAAATTCCTCTACAGCTACAAAATAGTTTTCAGTTTCCGGAGGTACAAACTTCTTTCAAAGGGAAAATTCTTTGCCCTGGATATTGTATTCTTAATGCTTCTGATACCTGTACATTTTAAACTACAAAAATTACAAATAAATTTGCTATTATCCGAAAGCTAAGACAATAGAAACTTTTTAAATACGCTAATATTCTTTTAAGTTTAATTAAAAATTTTTTTATATAAATTTACATAACTGAGGAAAAAACAAAGACAATCATATGTTTCACAAATACTTCATTTTTTAACAACCACTGGTTTGCGAGTAAAGGCATCATCAGGTATTTATGAAACGTACAATTGTCTTTGTTTTTTCCTTTACCGGTGAAACCGTGGTCATTAATAAATTAAATATTTGTGAAACATACAACTGTCTTTGTTTTTCCTCAATTCTATAATTATGGAGTTTCTCCAAGTACCAACAGTTTCAAGTATCAATTGCAAAATCTAAATCAGTGTCATTACATAAAATACTTACTTTTTCAAAATCTTTTGGAGAACTATTTTCTTTTCTCAATTTCTCCACTTCCAGACACCTACTATTGTATGTTTCTTTTGCCTAACAAATAACGAACAGTCATAACTTCATAGGGTAATGCTTATAACCAATAAAATAACATTTCAATACTGTTAAAAAAACCATGGTACATAATATATAAAGATTTTTTTGTACTTATGGTTTGTTATGTTTTATGTATACCACTATAGTAAGTTGGAATTAATGCAATATTTGAGTCAATAAAGAATGAAAAATAGGTCTTTATATTAATATGAAACAAATAAACAGTTAATGTTTACACAAACATCAGTTATATATAGAGGTACAGTAACATAATTACTAGCTAGATCCAGATGTGAACAGGTGTGATATGTAAGCATACCATGCATTTTCTTCTTTGGAAAGTTTATTTTATTCTAACTACTTTTGTCATTCCCTTAGAGATAACACCTTGTCTGCCCATGGAGGGTATGGCTGTAATGGTGCATGCTGTATATGAAGATTGATAACAGTCCTCCAATGGTAGGTCAGTTAATATCTTGAGTTAAACTTTCCTATGTTTTGCTGAGATTGACCAACAGTGACAATGGTGATGCTTCCATCTTAGAGGACAGTATCACAGAATTTGCAATATAATACTATTACCTCTCAGTTCAATCTTTCTAAGTTCAAGCCATTAGCTGGGTAAATAAAGTTTAAGTCCTTTGTTTAACCAATAATCTATCTATATACTACTAAAACTCTGAGATTGTTTTTGGGGTTGCCTGTAATTAAATAGAGTAAAAACGGCACACAATAATGCCATATTTGTAATGAAATGAGAATAGAAACAGAATAAAACAAGTTTTGTTAAAATTGGGCCACAGGTTACCGAGTTAGCCCTGTTTTTCCGGTCATTTTTATGAAAATTTCTAGATGAATTTAGGCACACTAGATGGCGCCACATATCAGTTTATCTATCTATCGATTCGTTTTCCACCTGATGCATCACTTTAAAATATCTTCTATACAACAACATATGCACAACAGAAATTAAATGATGAGATGAAAATGTGTTATAACAACATGTAGAAAGAACAACAATAAAATGGACCTATAATATTATTGACTATTTGCAAATAGTAACTATGGAGATGAGGTAATAAAATAAAAATGAAGTCGAGAACAACAAAATTTTATAAACGAAAACCTATCGCCAAGCATTGGCTATAATATTATTTCCCTGTCAGTGTTCCCATCTTCATTAAAAGGCATAAGATGACAAAAATAAGATCTTGAAGAATCTATCTGTATACTACTAAAACTCTGAAATTGTTTGTTTGCTTATTTTCTCAGTGAAAAAATCATTCACACTACCGTTCACGCTCTTTACGAAACTTCATTGGGCCACAGGTTACCAAATTAGCTCCATTTTTCGGGTCACTTTTATGAAAATTTCTAGCATGAGTAATTTTACATCACACTACCATTCGCACTCTTTACAAAACTTCTTCATTCAAACCTATTTTCCTGTCAATGTTCCCATCTTCATTAAAAGACGTAAGATGACAAAAACAAGATCTTGAAGAATTTCTCAATAATGTGCCTTAGTTATGGTAGGTGAATCGAAGAAAAAATAAAGTGTTACTGTTTCTTATTTGTAGAAGGTTTAACAGGAAAGACGACAACATTATGAACTAATTCATCACAATACCTGAAAACTCTGACTTCACTTTTTTGAAAAATGAAATGGTCTTTACTTTTACTCCCGATCAACAATCAAATATCGTTTCTTGAATTACGAATAACATGAATGGATTGAAATATTTAATTAAATCATCTCAAAATAAACCTTCATTTGGTGCAAGATTGAAATTAGCTTGAATTTTTCATAACCTCTGAATACTGGGAGACCCAACAGGTCACGGGTTGTCTAGTACTCTCCTAAAAATTGACAAGTAAAGTTAACTAACTCTTAATAAACATCTTAATAAGTTCTTAGGGGAGTTTAGAGATATTCAAACTAAATACCTGCCAGGTCTAGTCTAGTCTTGTACTGGTGCATGATGACATTTTCCTACAACAATAGCTCTTCACCAATAGGAAGCTGACAACCTCCATGTACAGTAACTCCCCTTATGCACTTGCACTCAAAATAACTTCATTCTTAGACTAGGCAAAATGAAAGTGCACCGTAAGTGAGGAGGTCGAGTGGGCATGTGTGCAGAAGTGAGTATCTATTGGAAATACATTTTCGGGTCAGGAAAATGTTAATTTCCAAGATGATACCTCACCTCCACAGAATACCTACAATCCCACAATAAATTGATGGAGGAGCTGGTGCAAATTTAAGCTTAGATGAACTCCATTCAGAAAGTGCCCAAAGGGAAAGCCCATAATTTGTGACACATGATGACAGGAGCACACACCTGAGAGACCACATCTCTTATTAACCATGGTATATCTTTGTCTGGAATGGAAGGGGAAGACACAAATAAGCCCTAAGTGTAACAGGGAAGAACAGAATAAGAACAGGACCATTTGAGCACTTACACACAAATGGTCAGCTAGCAAAGAAGCGTAGTGTGGTTAGGGCATGATCAGACCATACAGGGAGTGCTCACCTAGGCTCAAATGGACAGACTCGGGTCGCAGGAGGAGGGCACACCAGCTGTTTGAGGAGTGACCTGCACTAAACTGGAAATGTCACCACCACCATACTATTTACCATATTGTGTTAAGCTGAACCAATGTAGAACTCTTCAAGGTCTAGCACCTCAGTAACAAAGAACTGGTAAGTGTCAAGGGTGTCCCAGGCTCCACTTCAAGAGGAGGAGAATTCACACTGGGGAGACCCAGAAAAGTGCCCAGAGCTGCACTGAATGCCTACTGGAAAGGTATTTTACTGGAGACGTTGCAATGGGTGACTGTGAATCCCTAATTTTAACAGCTGACAAGCATGAGCCAAAGTGATGGCTTTTTCCATGACAGTCCATGGATTGGTGTGGTCTAGATTGGGCAGTTGAGTCAATTTGTATATCATGAGGATACCTAAAGTGGTCTAGCAGAACACTCCATCTTGACAGTGTGTACTGATAGGGCCAGGGCAGATAGTCTGAACACTTTACATTAACCCTGGCCTAATACAGATGATGGTAAATAAGCATACTATGGGAGGGTAACATCAGCCACCTGATGGGATCCTGGGAGAAGAAAAGGAAGAAAAAAAGCAAGCATGCTTACTCATCTTAAAGATAGCAGGTTGACTGAAAAATGATGACCAGGGAGTAATGAATCAACCAAATGATGAAGATAATGAGCACTGAATGTATGTGAAGTTGTCCACATGCCCACCTGGAGGATCTTGTCCAAAGGCTGGCAAAAACGAGAAGCAAGAGAATGAGACAGGTGATGAATGTAATGCAATGAAATGCAAAAGAGCCTGCAAGCATCAACATGAAAATAAAAATAAACCAACCTAAGAATTTGACAGACCCATCAGGTAAGAGCAGAAAATGAGAGGTCCCTAAATGAAGAAGGGCCCCAGGGTAAAAACAGATGATGGAAGGGACTCTGAATGTGGAAAGTTCGTACCAAGGAACACTGAACAGCTTGAACTGGTCATAGGAGCTGATCTGGGTCTCAACAAGCATAAAAGTGAGAGGAGAAAAAGAATGGTCACTCTCCCAAGTGACTAAAGTCTCAGAAAGAAAAGACCAGTCCAGGTAGGAAGTAAATAAATGAGAGAATACAGTGCAAGAAGCATTAAGAGCATAAATACCTGAATGATAGTGATTGGAGGTGAGGAGGAGAAAGTTGTAAGTTTTAACAGAAAGGTGATAGAAAGAGCAAGAAGCTAATGGATCAAACAGGGCACATGTGAGAGTGTGTATTACCACATTAATATTCCAGTCAGGAATGGAAGTCAGTTGAAAGGGTCAGTGAAGAATGAAGGATTAAAACAGTTTGGAGAGGACTAAGAAATAAAACACCTATGGTAAATAACAAGTCAAAAGGTAGTGGATAAGGCTCCCAGATAACCAGAAACAGTGGGTACTGACAAACCACAGTCAAACAACCAAGTGAAAAAGGAAGAAAGGCAGATCACAGTAAAACAGCTAAGAGGAATGGAATGGCAAATGGATCAATGTTGAAAAACTTGCCACTTACAATGAAAGACAGACAAAGTGAAAGGACTACAGGAATCAGATGAGAAGGCTACATGATTAGGGAGTCCAGCCCTAAGGACAATGGACTGGACAAATCCTACATGTGAAGATGAAGGGATGATACCCCTGGATTAAAATGGAGTATGTGATGCTGATGCAACAGAGAGGAGACAAGAGGTAAATGAAGGGGTGGGGAGGTCTGGATGCCAATTGAAGATGTAGAGGAAACCAGGGCTATGCTGGCCAAAAAGCTAACACCCAACAAGAAGTGTGTTTATCAAAGTATATTACATTTAGTTAGTTGTTTTCTTACAATAACGTTTAATATGTTATATTATAATGGTAATGTTAGGTATTATCTTCTATTTAGGGTTTTGTATCTTCATGAACATTGGTTTTGTTCGTGTCATAGTATGTTAGGTGCATTCAACATGACATGCTTTTAACTAAAAATCATATGGCATTAATTGTCACTGATGTTGTAAAGAGATGTGCTGTATGGAGTTTCTACAGAAAAGTGTAAGTTTGGTGTAAGAGAGAGAGCAGATATCCAAAAAAAATATACATCAATGAATATGGTTTGGGACAGTAACTGGTGTTCATGGGTTGCCTAGAGGAGGCAGGTTATTTTGTTTATTTATTGTTTTTTTCATTAATGAAATTGGTCCGACTAAATTACAATTTTGAAAGAATTTTTTTTTTTCATTTTAAATTGTCATTCATTATTATTATTCATTATAATCTTTATAAGTAGATAAAAACATATAGTATAGTTGATTTGCTATATTTATGGCAGCGTTGACTTTTTAGTTTTGCTGTGGGTACATAGCTTACTCTGATCGTAAGTTATTATCATTACTTACCAGGAAATACCACATAGGTAATAGTATATCCAGATGTACACTAGTACCAGGCACAGAAAAAGCATGCTTACGAACTTCGTAGATCCAGTTATACATAATGGGTATCTAACGTATCATGGTGTACACAAGTAGTAGAAAGCTTATAGGATAACTACGTACCACATGAATTAGAAGTGAATACAGACAATAATGTATATTGGTATTAGAAATCACTACAAAACTGCAAAGAGTGAGAAAATGTTTAAAAGTTGAAGTTACACTTTGGGATGATTACTTTCTGCATAAAAAACTCAATTTCAACATTCAATGAACTGAACTAAGCATTTCAACACCATTTTCAGAAAGAAAAAAAATCTATCAATTCTCTTATGATTTGTTATAAATTTATATTTTTTGTTACGTAAAGAACAGAATGTCAGAGAACAAACACATGTGAGACTATGAGATTTTGAAATGTTTAGAAATTTTGCAGGAATGAACTAAATTAAAACAAACCTAAAAGGTAAAGAAGAGAAATAAAATAAACGTTACTCAAAGTCTATTGGACAGCATGTTTATATAAATAAAAAGTATCTAAACCATGGAGCAAGAAGTGTCTTATAAAAAAGTATCAAAGTCAAATATGTGGCCACATTCCAGTTAAAAATGTTATAGACTTATAATAACAACAGTTAATATCACCAACATGACTATTAAGTAATAATACAGCTACAAAGAAACAAATAAGTATCTACACACAGTTCTTGTGCACATTTAAACAAACATTTCCTTGAAACCACAATTTCTAAAAATGTTGATCAGGTATAATAATCTTAAACAGCAATGAAGATGTGAATGGAAAATTCATTGACTACTGAAAATTTTACATCCTGAACATATTGGCTGAACGTGTACACATATTCATTTTCAAGCAAAAACTGCAATATATTCCATATAATGTTTAACAAAAACTGTATTTATCACATACGATAAATCTCCTCATTGAAGTACTACAGAATATCTAAAGCATGACAATAAAAGTCAAATAAAACATAATGCTTCAGGAGTACAATATGTCATTTTGACTGTTAATTGTAATTGTTACTGCACAGATACACTAAATGCAGATAAAATTTCTACTAATTGGAGTATGATTCTTTCTTATGATTAGCATGAGTAAATCACATAAGTCTTAATAACAACGAAGCACTAGGTATACACAACACAGCAATTTTAAATTAGTAATGCAACCTAACCAAACAGAGCTTTTTTTTGCAAAACCAAAATCATATCTTCTGGTGTGTGTTTGTAATAATTCTAGAATCAATTTTTAGTGACCATCCTATTAGATCTTTGACGGTTAGGCAGAAAAATGAAAAATACAAATTTCTAAGGTAGTCAATGCGCATTATATGTCTAACGTCAGCAAGGCAAGCCTTCACCTTCCCGTTCAATAACCTAAATAATGTTTGCTGCACCAGCCATTTTTACTTTATGGTTTTGTGTAGAAGCACATCAAGAACCTTACCAAAAGCTCATAGAAAAATCTAAGTACTCAGTTTAAATCAGATTATACATTAATTTCCTAAACATTTTTGCTAAACTTGGTTATAATTCAATGAAAACCATTTGTAGAGATGTATAACAACTTTTAACTGCAAATTAGTACATAGACAGCTCATGATGAAAATAACTGTCTTAAAATGGCATTGTTTATCATTCTATAAAATAAATACAAGTAAATAAATAAGCACATGTCAATGACTCAGAAAAGATACCTAAAAAGTTTGGTCAAAACCTATTACAAAAGTATCAAATTAAATAATAAAAGTGCACTTATTTCTTTACACAAAAGTGATAAAAGTAATGCTTTCAAAATTAGAAATTAGAGGATAACAACACTGAAGAAATATGAACAAATATTTATCATAATCAACATTTCTTTCAACATATCCATGGAAAAGTATAAGAAACAGCTACACATCTGTACAATTGTTTTGTGATAACAAAAGACACAAGTGATTCACCATCTTAATCAGGGAATAAAACATTTACTATAGTATTATACACTGGCTTACTTTTGATAAAGATGTTATTGTCTGTTGAATAGATTGCACTACTTCTAATGTCCCAGATTCCTCTTCTTTAACCTTAAAAAAAATAAAATTATCAACAAGATGACGACAAAGTCGCAAGTCTTTATTAACATTGCTATTAATAGTAACCTACAAAAAATATTATCTGTGGGTTACATTTCTAGTTGTCACTAGTATGTATACAACTTAATACATATGCTTATTTACACGATGTATAAAAAATAGTTGACCTACATTGAATTATCATACACTTTCTGTTTAAGACGTAGCTACTTAATTATAGATATTTATGTGGGATAACAGATTTATTTCATTAATACATTTGATGTCTAACAGTGAGACATGATCACACATAACATTCAAAGTACAATTACATTCAGATTACAAATATATCCAATCAAATAATTATTTATTATGATATCAGTTCCATCTGCTTTTTAATGTAATTAACTGAAAACAAATATAATGGTGCTTCTAATGCTTTATCTATATAAGGTTTGAATTCTTCGATTCTCAGTGCTTCAAATTTTTCTCATTTAGGTTTCCTCTACTTTCAATACTTTAACATTTTTTAAATTTATTTTGTGTTATTTTTTAATCATATGTTTATTTATGTTTGACTGTCTTTGTTTTTCATGTTCCTTGCACCTGGTCATTATCTCGTAGAGAAATTTCTACAGAATAAATATTCCATTTTATGTACTGTGCCATTGCCATATTTTTCATTATTTTATGATTTTAGTAAAAACCCTTTAATGTTGGTTCCTATTTTTTTTATAATTTTAATTTTTACATTTGTGTTTTGTTTACTTAATTTGTACCATAAACTATATTTTTATTAATAATACCTACAAACAGTATTTAAACATAAATATGTTTCTTTTCTTGCTCTTCATGGGTGTTTTGGTAAGTTTTCTTGTTGTTCTTATTTTTGTTCATTTGTTTGGAATTAAGCACAAAGCTACACAATGGGCTATCTGTGCTCTGCCCACCACGAGTATCGAAACCCGGTTTCTAGCGTTGTAAGTCTGCAGACATACCGCTGTGCCACTGGGGGGGGCTGTTCATTTGTACTTGGTTTATTGTTTTCTTGACTGTGTTATCAATTAGACTTGGAGGGTATTCTTTTTTTCTTTTGATTATCCGTTTCCACATTTTCATTGGTGCTTAATCTCAGTGCTGTTATCATACTTTCTTTTAATGTTTTGATTTTTAGTTTTTATCACCAGTATACATTAGTTTTACAATCCTTTCTTTCTTTTTCTAATGTAAATTTTATGTCTTTATGTTGTTTGTTAGAGTTAATTTCATTCACTGTGAACAACCTGCAGTTTAAAGGTGGAGTAGTAGAGCACATATTAGCAATTTCATAACAGTTTTTGGATTATAACAAGAGAAAAATAATATATATGTGTTTAAGCCAAAAACAAAAATTTGTCTGATAAAAATTCAATAGTAATAATTTAGAAATGACTAGTTCCCCCCATTTTAAATACAAAAACTAATACTCACTAATAAAAGAGCAATTCATTTATCTTTATCTCTTTTTTTTTGTGAAGTTAATGCACTGCCTTTCATAAAAATACAAAAAGCATTTTTTCCCCTAGTACCAAAGAAATTACACAAATAACAATATCCACAATATAATATACCATAAAAATATAATAAGCCTAACACTAATGTCTTGTGACAAGAATAATTAAATTATACTAAGGGTTCTGTTTAACTCAGAGTTAGTTTTCTAGTTGGGATAATTACAAACTCTACTTACCAGTTTATGTTTTTTATGCTGTTCATCACAGTATTTATGTACCTCTTTAACTAAATCTTGTATCCTTTGCACCATTTCACTATGAAGAGACGAAAGCTTCTCTGTTGAAACTTTCAAGACTTGCCACAATGGAGCAAAGGTTCTAAGAAGAAAAAAAAGTTTTACAGTTTATATGGACTTTAAACTACATCCACTTTTTGAAAATTTTTGAAGAGATAAAATAATGAAATGAGTTAATTTTGAGAAACCGTTCATTTTAAAAATTCTCTTTTTATTAATTTCTCATATACGGACATGATAAATTGGTGATTAAATAGCTTTTACATTTACACAGCACCTTGGAAAATTAACACACAGGAAAGATTATTCATGTCTCCCAATATATGTGGAAACTATATTTATATACATTTCTTTCTCAAATATATATTAAACCAACAATTTCCTTTCCTAAAGTTTTCATGTTTATAATTTGCTAAACCCTGTTAATGGTCTCTCTGTTAAATATAATTATTCAGAAACATATAAGTTATATACATTACAAATGATTATCTAAAAATGGTATCTAAAAGTTCTACTAATTCCGAAATGGCTTCAGTTAGCAATCATCATGTCCACAGGTTAACACATGGTCAGATTTAAACCTTTCGCATCAGGTAAGTCAAAGTGCAACTGTTACAACCATTTACAAAGTTACATTCAAAATTTAAATAAACTACTTTATTATCAACTTATATGAATAAACTTGGCATCATCATGTCCACAGGTTAACACATTGTCAGATTTAAACCTTTCGCATCAGGTAAGTCAAAGTGCAACTGTTACAACCATTTACAAAGTTACATTCAAAATTTAAATAAACTACTTTATTATCAACTTATATGAATAAACTTGGCATCAAAACATAGCTAATAAATGAAATTTTGAAATAAAATTTAAGTTCTTAATTTTATTAGGAAATATAAAAATAAAATCTTCTTTCTTCCCTAGTATGGAAATTGTGAATTTTACTCTCTAAGTCTTTTCTAATTGATTTACCACCCCTCTGAAAAGCACAGAATTTAACTTATATTACTCACATAATACAGTTAATACTCAGGCAAAGCATAATTTTTATAGAATTCAGTCTTATTTGGTTATGGAGCCATAAACTAGAAAATCAGATTCCTCTTGCCACACCCACCTGTCACATCCTCTCTCACAAATTGCCAATAGTTCTCTGACATTCAATACTATATTATTTATAAGCAATAGAAATTAAAAGCTTTAATATATCAAATGATGTATTATATTGCATTGTTTTTGTGCAGAGAATTGTCTATTTTGCTTCCAGTTCCAATTTTATTCCCACAGAAAACACATTGAGAAGCTTAGCTGAATTTTTTAATGGCTCTTATTGCATAATCAGAAAGTCAGAAAAATTATGATACTTATAGGATATTCTCTTATTTTTACATATTATTATTATTGTGTGTTCTTAGGTGCAGTATTTAATGAAATAAAACACCATATAATTACAGACAAAATATTAGTAGGTTTAAATTTCATCAACAGTCAACAGCAAAGAAAAAAAACAGATAAACACTTACCTGATGATGACAAAACCTTGTTGAAACATTGTACATTTGCTGTTATGTTAAACTTATATTAAAGTTTTTCTTCATTACCCATTCAATCTGTCTCCAACCATTATTAGTCTCAAAGTGGGTTCCTCGTCATTGAATTTGAAAACAAATATCAGTATTACTATGCACAAGTACCAATAAGGCTGGCTATCAACAACACTGGTAAACTAGTTTTCAAAGCTTAATGATAAAGTATAACATGTAACTCACCCATTTGAACATGCACTGCCAGCTTGTTTGGCTAACTTTGTTAAAAGTTTTGACTGAGCTTCTTCAATTCCTGATCTAAATCAAAGTAAATATAACTTTTATTTTCTTTGGTATTTTCATGATGATGCCCAAAACAACCAACTAAATTTTCAAAAATACTAATAAACATTATAAAATACTTTTACACAATTTTAGTCTGGTAACCACATAAACAATTGGAATTTTAGGTGGTCTTAATTTGGTTAAAATGTTTTATAAAGTTTAATATTTTACACTTGTTACATTAGTAACTCCTGTATTTAAAAACACACACTTGATATCAATGAAAAAATATTAAATAACTTTAATCTTAGCAAGACCAAGGCACAGACTTTACTCTTTCTATGATATATATAAAGCTAAAAATTATAATCACTTCACATCGAGTTAAAAAATTAATATTCTCAGGCTATGTAAAATTAATAAGTTAATTCTTAAGTGAGTATGGATGACTTATAACTGAGAAGTTGAATGTTTTTATTTTTCCTTCTTAACTTAGTGATGATAATATTGTTGTTTAGAATAAATATTAATTGCAAGATGACTATTCA